CAGCTATGAACCTCACCGCGCGTCAGTAATTTATTCTCTTTTTATTTATTTTCTACTCGTACCACTCACATAACCAAGTACTTAAACAATGACATAGGAGTTTATTCTTTGTTATTGCTGATAACAAAATTGTCCCAGAAATTATTGCAGTAAATGACAATATTGTTGTTTCAAGAACAATTTCAAATACTGTATTGGTAATAATTCAAGTTTGCTCTCTCAAAGACTAATAAAATTAAATTTTATAAGAAATACTTAACCCAGGAACCAAAATATATTGTAAATATTCAAAATAAACACAACAACAAAAAAAAGAAATTAAAAGTAAATGAAAACCACACACACAGGAACCACATAAAATGTGTTGTGATGGCTCAGTAAGCAAAATTTTCTTTCAAAAAATAATAATGGCAAGAATGGAAATTATCAACTGATTTTAATTTATGATGTGATTAATTGATTAATAGCTTGTTGTTTTTGAGTATTTCCATAAATATCGGACATAGATGGTCTCTTAAATCATCAAACCCTGCGTGACAGTTTACAAAATCCTGGGTTATTATCTGAAAACTTCATTGCGCTGTATTTTTATTTATTTTGTTTCTAATCACCTTCTAGCTCGACAAATTATGACCCTAATGGAATATTATTTATTGGAGTCACATAACCACATAGAGTTACAGAAGACTGTGTGTCGATTGTAGAAAATCATTTAATATGGAAGATTAATCAAAGCAGGTGTGAGATATCCACCTGGTTGTTATGGTACAAAATGATCGAAACACGTTTTTCTTTCATGCACTATAAACACTAAGACCCTCTTATGTTTTATCCAAATCAAAATGACCAATATTATGTCACTTTAGTCTAAATATTTGAACACTTTCACATCTTTCTGTGAAAAGAGGGAGATTTGCTCCTCAATGTTTTTTTTTTGGCTTTTTTTTGTCTTGCTTTGTAATGGCCATTGTGCTTAAATTGACATTAGATGAAATAAACTCTGAAACTCTTCCAGATGAGCTCTGAGATTTTCCCCCGAGCTGCTCTGGTTTCCAAAAGCTTCCAGTTTCATTACTTCTGTAGCGTTGCCTTTCTGCTGCTGCCTGTAGAGACCAGTCATGCTCATCAGCGGGGGTTCTCAGTGGACTGCGGCACGCCGTCTCACAGATCAATAAATTAGAGCACGGTGTGTGTGTGTGTGTGAGTGTGTGTGTGTGTGTGTGTGTGTCTGGGTCTATTCTTGGAGTAGTGTGCACCTCTCTCTCTCTTTCTCTGTGTGTTTCTGTTTCAGGAAAAGCTAAATTGATGGCAGTTTGGGCCTTTTGTGCTGCAGCGGGTTTTATATGTTGTGGTGGTGTGTCGTCCACATGATTGGCAGGTGGTCTGATTCCAATTAAAGGAAATTGATAAGGCTTAAGAGCCTTGGCGTTTGGCTGACAAAAGTAGAAGGCACAAAGTCCTTCCTGTCTGGCACACAAAGATGCAACAACACCCACACACACACTCTCTCTCGCCATCTCTGGCTGCGTTTTCTACTTCCGTCCATGCGGGATGCCTGCGCACATCTGCGCTCTCGCTCTCATTTCTGCAGCCAGATTTTGTACTTCCTCTCACTTCCACAGCCTTTCTCTCTCTCTTTGTTTTCTTTTCTTTTTCTTCCCACCCCGTCGGATAAGTCCCATTTAGCTCAATTAGAGCTAAATGAGAGGCTGAGATGGAGATGAGAGAAAGCGGAGTTAGGCTGTGTGAGATAGCAGCAAACCTAATGTGAAACAGATGAAGAGGGCAGAGTGGGAGAAAAACAGGACACAGGAGACTCAAAGAGGGGGAGAGAGACGGAGACGGAGAATTCCCACTTACCGTGTCTGGTTTCATAACCAGTTCACTGTTTCCATTTATTGCGACGTGTCACTGCTCCACTTGCGCATAAGTGGGAGTCCATTTGACTGCGTCTTGATATTCCTCCTTCAAAAGCAGCAGAAATGGATGCAGGTTGCCGATGTTTGGGTAGAAGTGGGTCATAATGGGGCCGGGCGATACGACTTGAAGTTTTATCGCAATATTTTGCCACTATTGCGATAAAAATAAAAGTGAGGACAAGTACTATTTATTACATCCTTTTTAGGTAACTGTGTATCACTTCAACACTGCTGTTGAAAAACATTTAGGATGTGCTTCTTTAAGACACCAGCCTCATGAAGAAGAGTGATTTATATCGCTCTTTAAATTTATTGGCATTTATTGATGCTTTCACTCATCTAACAGTGAAGAAAATAGTAAATCTATCAAACCCAGCAATAAGGAGGTTTTAAAATCCTTAATTGGAACTTATTGTGACTACAATAAATCAAAATCCTTGAATTTTATCGCGATAAATGATAAACGATGCGATAAATGTCCAGCCCTGGTTCACATGCAGCGAAGCCACGTTGGGGACGTCTTTTGAACTCTGAGAACTTGAGGTTGGGATTATGCTGAGCTCATCCTAATGGAGCTTTTGAAGACAGTCAGAAGAAACTAATCCATTAATGATTTAGTGCCAGAGACACTTTTAGACTCATTACGATGAGAGGAACTTTTCTCACTGTGAAAATGCAGTTAGGAACGGCAAAGTGTGACTTGAAAACGAGTGATGCTTCTGCAGATGGCGTCCACTAAAAGCATCTGGTTGCGAAATAAATAAATAAATAAAAGGAGGAGGCTAATCGCTGATTATGGATTCAGGAAGAATTTGTTTGAGCAATCTGCCAGAGTGTCCTTTGAGATCAGAGCAGCATCATCAGTTTGAGAGAGGGGATTAGAGGACACATTAGCAAGACATAAAAGCTCGTAAGTGTGATATCTTTATTCTGTAGCTCATCCGTGTTTTTTCATCGACTCCTGAGAAAACGAAACGTTCCCCTCGAAATGAGGGGACCGATTTGTTAAATTATTCCAGGCTTCTGCATAATTTGCATCGTCACTTTGCAACTCTGATGAAACATTTAGTGGGTGCCGTTGGCGACCTCGCATTCTAAGCATTTGCAGGATCAGAGAAGCGAAACCGGTTCACATCCGAGTCCCGGCGTATCCCACCGCTGCATGTTTTGGACTCGGAAATGTTTGAAATGCTCCTGAGAGGCCGCAGCGATTTGTTGGCGGATTGGGAGAGTTCGTTCCCGACGTACCAGATCCCTACCTGCGTCTGCATGCAGCCAGGAAAAAAGGCTCGGATTGGCAGTGAATATTTCACTGCAGTTCTGCTCAGAGTCCCTCGCTGCAGATGAGTCAGCAGAGATGACAGAGGATCAGGCAGATAGAGTTGCTTCGCGGCTCTATTTCAGACTGTCAGCGAACTGTTGTAATTACAAACACACTGTTCAGTCAAAGCTCAGACTGCATGCTCTTCGTCTTTACAGAAATAAAAAAAACACCCACCAGAAGTCTTCACAACATATTGTTTGTTTCTAGAGACATGCTGAATACCAAAAACAGTATCAAGTGTAGGAGAAATCGATCCGATACAAATCTAGATTAGGTATCTGTGACCGTTATTTAGATCTGTAGAGTCTAATTCAATGTTTTAAACTGAAGAAGTTAACGCATTATGACCTAAGTTATCTCCGCCTGGATATTTTTGCTTGTTTTAATTGTACGCAGTGCTTTAAATGTCCTGTGAGTAAATATATTTGCCCATTTATCTGTGAGGACCGGTACTTTCAACCTCTCCCAAGTTATTTTTGCAATATACTGTCTATTAAAAGAGTGCCCATGAGAGTTATCAAATAAATTTGTAATTTAGTATTCTTCTGGCTGTGCGTTTGAAGTCCAGTCAGCTGTTTTTCTGATCGGTATCGGCTGATACTAAACCTCAGATATCTGAATCAGATGTGAAAAAAAGTGGATTGGTGCATCCGTAAATTTTAACAACAATCATCGCAGTGTTACCAACTTAGCAACTTTGTCGCTCTATCTGTCAACTTTTCAGACAAAAAAAAAGACACCTTCCAAAATCGGATGTCGAAGGCCAGACCTTTTAAAAATCAGTGATTGGCCAGAAAACTGCAGTCGCTGCCTCTGGTTAAACATTAACTGCAAGGTTTCAGACAACAATTTAGGACATTAGTGCCCTTTATCTATTTATTTATTTATTTTAATTTTTTAAAAAGGCATTTGTGTGAGACACGTTTTTATGTTTCTGCCAAAGTCCAGCCTTAAATCCAGTGTTTTTCAGAAGATGCAAGTCAGTGTTCACAGATGCTCGGCATCGTGTCTGACAGGAGCTTGCGTTGTTTTTCAAAGAAGAGTGGGACGCATTCAGTGTCTGAATGTACAAAGCTAGTAGACAGATGCCTCAAAAGACTTTCATCTACAGCTGCAGGGAAATGTTCTACAAAGTATTGCCTGAAGGGTTTTGAATATAAATGGATTCTGCTTTTCACAGGTTTTTATTTGTCAAAAGCAATGTGAAAAGCTTTTTTAGTTTTTCCTCCACTTTGCAATAATCCACTACTTTATGTTGGTCTGTTATATAAAAAACTCAACAACATTCGGTGTATTTTATGCTGAAATATTTTTCTGAAGTGTTAAACTGTTGTCATCCTTATAGAGCTAAATTGGAGCCATAAAGTTTGTTCAAGAAAAAAAAGACAATTTGAATCTGTAAAGTAGTTTTGAACATTTTCTTTTTCATTTTTATGTTCTTTTTTTGTTTCAAACCTTTTTTTAGTTTCAAATAGTTTGTTTTTTCAGTTTCAAATCTTTATCCTGCTTCTATTTTTTTCATTTTCTAATTTTTTTTTCTCGGATTCAGACCTTCATTTTTCGATTTCAAAACTTTTTTTTTTGACTTTCAAATATTTTTTAAAACTTTCCTTTTCTTGTGAAAAACTTAATGGCTTCTCTTTCTTTTAGCTCCATGGATCACCTCTGAACGCTCCGAACAGTGACATGTAGTTTATTTACGTCTTTCTCTTCAGTGCAGTTAACGTCTCTCTCCTCTCTTCCCTTTATTGCTCCAGCTGGTCTTTATCTGCAGCCGGAGTGGACTGCTGCGCCGCTCTGAGAAGGGCACCATGACCCAGGAGGGGCAGGCTCTGCCCTCTCCCACCCCGCCTGAGAACACGTCAGAGCCCGACGCAACCGCAACCACCACCGACCCACCTGGGGAAGCGAACATCGAGGCGGTGGAGGACAGGCCAGACGCCGTGGAGAGGGACAGTACAGAGGAGAGGCAACAAGAAGAGGAGAGCATAAGAAGAGAGGGGGAGGAGGCGCAAAGTGAGGGAGAGGGGAGGGCAGAAGGAGAAGATGAGGGAGAGGAAGAGGAGTTGAATAAGGAGGAGGAAGGTTCAGCTGAAGAACAGCATCATTGGAGCAAAAGAGAAGAAGAAGAAGAAGAAGAAGAAGAAGAAGAAAAAAGGGACAATGAAGACATGCAGCTGTCTGCAGAGACGGAGGGAACTAAACCTCAACCGACTGAACGGTCAGTGAATGAAACCGTGTGTTTAATGAATAATTGGTGTTAAATGTTTAGAGTTTATTAGCAAGTACTTGTAATTTGTGGATGTAACGAAGTATTTAAAGGGTCATTATTGTGTGAAATCAACTTTTTTGAACTTTGCATCATCTTATAACGTTATTCCCTAATATGAAACATATCTGGAGTGTTGCTTTGATTCTTTCATGCGTGTTTGAGAAATCATTTAATCTCCATGGCAACCACTCAGCACCAGGTTGCCCCGCCTTTGAGGCAGTTTCCAAACTGAGCTTCCACCTCACAGAGCAGCTCCTCCACTCAACTCCTTCAGACTAGCCCGCAGCAATTAGCAAGCACCTGGTGGTACGGCGCATCTGCTGAGCTCATTATAAGAGCGACTTCTTAAAAACTTTGTTAAAGTGTTCATATAGGAGCCATGTTGTCTTGACTTCCTGAAGGTGAAGTTTCAGAGAGATAAGCAACCTCTTAAAGAAACAAAAGTCCAATTTCAAGGTGCTAAAGTACAAAGTGAAATTTCTTTTTATAGTCATGTTTGAGATATCAAATTTTTATAACAACAGAAGGTAACACAGTTACTCGATTGTGCTGTAAAACAGCTTGATATGCCTGGAAATCAGATTACTCTGCGTCTTTATTGTTGCTGTTTCCTCAGAAAGACTCTTGTGACTGACCTTTTTACTGGAAACATTTTTTCTTCAAGAGGTTTCTCTATGTGTTTTCCTCACGCATTATAAACCTGAATTGCTTCACTCACTGTTTCTAACAGAAAAGCTCCAGCCAATTGAGCTGAGAAATATATTATATATATATATATATATATATATATATATATATATATATATATATATATATATATATATATATATATATATATATATATATAATTATAATTTTTTTTTTTAAACTGACTCAGCTTATAACCACTTATCGTCTTAAAAAGACAACAAAGATTAGGAAGCTGTAGAGGAAAGAAAGTGGTATAGGAATTATACTTTGTTGAATAAATTGGAAATAAACAGGACAGCACACAGAGTTGAGATGTGTTTGTGTTGTTTTTGTGTCTTTTTTGTGCAATTCTGGCCAGATGTTTACATGCACTCATCAGTTTAAATTTCCTCTGAATATTGAAGTAGTAAAGATGCGTTTGAAGCTTTTAGCTTCAAAACATTTACAAATGTTTGAATTTATTCATGAGGATTTTCTCTCATCCAGACCAAATGAATATAGGATAAACAAAAAAGTATTCAAATTGTCAAAGTTATTCACAGGATAATTTTGTTTACAGAGACTTCATGATTGATTTGACGTTTTTTTGTTTATTTATGTTGGATATTTAAAATGTCTCCCCTATTAAGTGTGAATTAGAATAGAAAGTTTGTTGATCTTTGAGAATGTGTTTATGCATTATTATGCCATCATGTTACATCAATTGTCTCAAAACAATAATATTATTGTTTATCGCGATAACTTCTGGGACAACTTATCCTGCAGCAAAATCTGCCAAAATGTGACAGACCTTCTTCTCGCCAGAACTGTAAATTTATCTTTCATAAAACAAATTGTATGCCCAATTCGTGAACAACACAGTAGAATATTATTATTTTAAATTACAGCAGTAGCCAATCAGATGTTAATTTGGACGGATGACATCATTGTCATCCATTTGTTTGAAAGTGTGTCAGAATAAAAGAGGTCGTCTCAAGATAACTTCTGATTTTCTTTTTACAGGCTTGAAAACGGTACGAGTGGGAACGATGACGAGGACGGGCTCGGCGAGGAGGATGGCGGAGAAGAGAGGGACGGATGTACCAACCTGGACACTTTCAGCTCCAACTTTGAGACGACTGTAGAGCAGGCCGACACAGAGGTGGAGGAGGAGGACGAAGGAGTCCAGGGAAATAAAGAGGAAACGGAAAACCAGGACACTTTCAGCTCGGCGTTCGAGCAGATCGTAGAGCAGGTTGATGCGCACCACGAAGAAGAAGAAGAAGAAGAAGAGAGAGAGTCGGAGGAGGAACAGAAGGAGAAAAACAAGGTGGTGGACAACAAAGATGGCTTCAGCTCCACGTTCGAGCGCATTGTGGAGTCCGCCCTGCTGAGGGGCGGTACGTGCTACAGCAGCCTCGACTCCCTGGACGTGCTGTCGCTCACGGACGAGACGGACAGCTGCGTCAGCTTCGAGGCGCCGCTGACCCCGCTCATCCAGCAGAGGTCCCTGCTGCAGGGGCCCGAGCCCCTGGAGCTGGAGCTGGCCACAGTTCAGGAGCAGGAAGGGGCCGAGCCCGGAGCCGACGGCCTCGATGGCGACGACACGGCCGGGCAGAGCGCGGCGCGTGCAGGTGGAGCAGGCGGCCCCGCGGGGGGCAGTCCGTTAAGGACGACCATACCAGGCAGCAGGTCGGAGTTCACGCTGAGCCAGGCCGGACGCTGGGCTATTCCCAATGGATACCACTCAGACTCCCAGGGAGCCGGGGAGCGCACTGGAGCCATGGTCAGCTCTGTCAGGTAAGGACAAGGCAGGTTCCTCTCTGTCGCTTTTACAGATGTGGAGGTAGAAGGCTAAAGGTACCCGGTTATATTCAAGAGGTTACATTTGGCTGTTGCAAATCAGGGCTGGGCAATAAATCTATAACAGTATTTATATATAACACAATAGACTCTTGATCAATATCAATGTATTATCAGCCTGGTGGGCCACCAGGCTTAACTTGCTCCCCCACCAGGCTGAGCATCGTTTGTTTCATTATTAGGTGTTTTTTTTTTCATTCCACCAGCAACAGGGATGAAGACGAGTTAAAGAGCGTCTTTGGTGAAACAGTTTTAAGCCCAAAGGCAGCATAGTATGGTCAGCATGTGAACATATAAGAGACTGAGGTCAGAGGTCGTTTTTATACACAGGAACTCTAACTACTGACTGTCTTTGCAGACCTAAACACTAACAGTAAAGTGACAAGTTACGGATAAAGGGCTAAAAGATTGCACACACTTTAATTAGGATCAAGCAACTGAAGTGCTAATAAAATATATTTATCTTCATTAGATTTTATTTATTGTTTGCCTTTTCTAAGGCTTCATAATTGAAATTAATCTCTGTGCTCGGTTTTAGCTGATGTTTTAAGTGTAGAAAAGTCTCTAGTGCTCTAATAATCTCCAAACTATGAAAAGATGAGTTGTGTTTTCTGTCTTCAGTGTAAAAGTGTTGTTACTGTTTTATTTTTCTACTTTTTGACAAAAAGAACAATCTTAAGACCATAAGAAAGTGATTGTAGCGCCCTTCTTTTCTGTTAATGTGATATATGTTTCGTTTCTATCAGCAAAGAAAAAAAGAGTCGGACAACAGTGTAATTAACGTGTTGTAACCTTTGACTCAACCAGCAGGTGGCATTAGTAAAGTGAATCCCTGCAAGTGGTGCTTAGAGAGAGAAAAATGTGTGGGTTGAAGGTGGATATTTGCTCTTCTTTTTTTCTTTTTTTGAAAAAGCAACTAACCTTTCAGTACAGACAGATCAATCTCACTTTTCTTCAAGCAGCTCTTGGATAAAAGAGCTGCTGAAAGCAGTTCTCTTTTCAATAAATAAGGAAAATGTAGGTCGACTTCACACATCTTAATATGTTTAGTCTTTCTTCTTCTTTCTGTCTTCACGGCTGTGCTTTCTGTTGGCAAGTGAGAGTCGTGTATTGGCTCAATTGTGAAAGACTTTAATAGTTAAGGTTTGAAAGTAGCTTTCTAAAGAAGGGCTTTTTGCATTTGAAAAGAGAGAAGTTGGTGATCAGCTCATCTTTTTACTCCCTATTTAACCACTTTTCATGAAGGGCATTTGCAAAAATCTAAATCGCTGAAGATTTTCTGGATGCGAGTTTCGCGTGCAGGACATGCAGAGATACGGTTAAAAATCGTAATTGAAACCAAAGCTGCTACAATGGCAGGGAGTCTGAAACACTAATCTAAGAATCTGCTGAACCAACATGGAAGCCATAAGCATGCCGGAGGAAACTACACAACGCAACAAAAGACGATGACAACATGAAGCACCCGACAAGGAGCAGCAGAGAGAGTAAATGTCAGTCAGAATGTTAAATAATAAAGACCAGCTGTATAGGAACACACAGAAAGAGCGATGCAAAAACAAACTACATAAAACCAAGGCAGGTTAGCCAAATACAAAAGGGTTAGGGTTGGGAATTGGAGGGAAATGGTAGCTAATAGCACAAAGCAGAAGTCTCTAAACCACAGTGTTCTTGGATGATGGAGGATCCTTACAGAGAGAAAATCTTTTGAACTGGTTTAACAATTTTCCTCTGCGATCGTAAACTCATCCACTCTGAGCATCATTTGCAAAGTCCCCATGGGACTGTGGGAATACAGCAGCAGCTTATATTACTTCCTTACATATAATTACCTTAATAGCCCTAAAAGACTCTAGGAAGATGGCGCAGAGCCACCAGGGGCGGGGGGAGGCCCTAACCAGAACCATATGAGCAAAACCTCGCTGCTTCGCTGCAACTTAAGGCCATAGGTCTTCCCAGCTGGCATTTCCACCGTCTCTGAAGTCTGTTTTCCTGCACTGCAAGGTTCCTGCAGGTCCAAACGGACCGCAACGCCAAGCAGTCCTTCCGACACAATCTGCTCACCAAACCGTGGGAATTCGCCCGGCGGCTTTGGCCGACTCCGGGCCTCGAGACGGCGGCTCTGCTCTGCTCCCAGGCTCTCGTCCCCATGCCGATCCGGTCCGCAGATGTTGTTCTTTAAGGACGTCCTCGCTTCCTGGCCACCAGCGCCAGCCTCAATGAGCTATTGTTTGTGTCATGACATCATCGTCTTCAGCCTCCCCTCTGCCTGGCGGGTCTCAGAGCGAATGTGATTATTGCTCTGTGTGTTGGCCATGCTTTGCCAGACATTTGTGCACTTAACTGTGGAGTGGATACATCTGTTTGGCAGTGTGAAAGGGAGAATATTAAAGACACTCAACAGCATCCATTTTCACCAGGCACATTGATCCCGGTTCTGCTTTGGTCCTTGTATAGGATTAAATGGGGAGCATTAGCAGTTTTTGAGTAAGTCAGGTTTAGTGCTGTTGGTGGTATTTATTAGAAATTTGTGCCTCAGTCTTGTCCCAATAAGCCGTTAATAAATTAATTAACCACATAATCAATTAAAATGAGCTTGATGGTTTCCATTGTGATGATTAGTATTTTTTTAAGCCTAATTTTATTCATTTTATTCATGGTTTGGGTTGCATGTGGTTTTTATTTCCGTTACATTATCATGTTTTATTCATTTGGGGTTTTATAAAATATCTTCCAGAGTTCAGTGCAGAAAATTAAAGTTTATTGGCCTTTGAGAGGGAAAACTTGCATTATTACGACATGATCAATATATTTCTTGAAAATGGTCTTAACACACCAATATTATCATTTATTGCAATCATTCCTGGAACAATTTATCCTTCAGTAAAATGTGTTGTCATGACAGCACTTTGTCTCGTCAATGGATCTGCAATGCATTGACCTCGTTATGAACTCCAAACTCGGAGTGGAAATCTAATCTCATGATTAGATTCCCATGTTTGGGACCACGATTGGATTCAATTCCAAACCGATTTTTTGATTCACAACGATTATTCATAATGATTCCTGCTTTTATCTATAGGTGTGTAAAGGATCCTCAGGACGACAAATAGAGACATTAAAATGCCTTTCCCACTCCCTCACTGCATTCTTCATTGTGTTTTCACAAAGTAGTCACAGACACAGCGCCACCTTTCTGTGGATGAGAGCGCTACAGAATTTTTTTGCCGTTTGACGGTCTTGGTGGTTATTTGGTGAAGAAATTCCTCACCATGTCGGGTAAGTGCTCTGTATTCACGTCGCCTGCTGATAAAAAAACCGGACCGGGATGGAAGCGGACTGATGGAAGCAAATATCATCATTGACTTTTTATACTGATTCTGAATCATAGCAAATGAGAATCGCAATCCTTATGAACCAATTTTTGGAGCACACTCTTTCTGTTAAAAGTAAATTTTGTTGTTTAATTTCGAAGTCTTACTTATTCTTTCATAAATGCTTGTTTATCGTCGTAGCCTATGATCTCCATCCACATAGTTTTTTGTATTTAAACAAATATTCTTTACTTGGATTTTCTTGCAAACGGGCATTATAAGACCTCAGTGATGTTTATTTTGCACTGTTGCAACATTTTGAGCTTCTTTTTCTGTCACCCTGCTTTTGCTGACAGTCTCACCTTCCATTCATTTTTCCTCGTGAGATAAAATGGCGTGACGAGGTTCATCTAAAATCACCCACCCTCCCCCCCTCGCCCACAAACACACCATCCTCCTCTGTTTATCGCATCCCACTGTTTCCCATTTTCCCTCTCGGTGTTTTTCTTCTGCTGCTTCTCATCCTGCTTTCCTGTCCTCCGTTCTTTGCGGTGGCGAGCCACGGTCGCACATCTCGGTTCCCGGAGCGTCACAGACAGCTCGTCTTTTTCACCGCAGGACACAGCGGCTGTGCAGCAATAGATATGGTGTTTTGCGAAGATATGCGTACCCTTGAGCTTTTTCCCTTTTTATCATGTTGAGCCACAAACATCAACGTGTTGTGTTGGGATTTTATGCGATAGGTCAGCAAACAGGAATGCGTGGTTGTGAAGTGGAAAAGCGTCAAAGTGGTGATAAGTTTGCGTTTTATTTCTTGTCGACCTGCAGAACCTCTAGCAGGTTTTCTTTCCCAAAGGATGATGCTCCCACTGCCATGCTCCACAGTGGGAATGTGGCAGCATCGATAGCTTTTCCCCACAAAAAGCGCTTTGTGTGTAAAGTCTCGCCTGATCGGGACGCCTTGATGTCCTGTGAGCACACTTGATTTGAGGGAAACTCCAAACATGACTTTTCAGGAGCTACTTCTCAGGTAAACTGTGGTAAAAACGTTACTGAAGGGTTAATAGAGGAGCCACATTGTGATGGCTCCTCTATTACAGAAAGAGACAGAGGCCCAATTTCATGTTGTTAAATTACATTGAAGAGTAGACCTGTTCAAGAATAAAGTTAAAATAATCCAAGAATAAAGTCAAAATATTACAACGTGATTCTCATAATAGTTTTACTTTGCAGTCTTAATGTTATGACTATTTTTATTTTTTGTTTCATCTCAGTGTGGTCCCAATGCTCCATCATAGATTAATAAATGGTGTAGAGTTTTTCTTTTAAAATCCCGAGAGAAGGAAAAACAGGCTGTAAAACTAACAGATCTGAAAGGCTGTCCTCGTCAGCCACTGTGACGAACAAACACCAGCCACTGTTCTGGCCGGTGGCCAAACACAGAAATACAGGCCGCAATGAATTAGCTGTTTCCTTGAGGAGACATGCATCTCTGGATGTGGATATTTGACATTTGGTAGAATGTGCCATGACACCGACTGAATATCAATCACACAACAGCTGAAGTGTGTGTTTGCAAGAAATCATTAGCATGCAGCATGAAGCAGTTGGAACAACATATGT